TTTTGTGTTTTCACTGAGGTGGACAATAAAGATTCACACTTCAAAGGTGAGGACGGCTCGTCTGTACAGAACCAGAACAGAACCGGGAACTGAAGAATCCAGAGCAGGAAACCCTCAGTCAGGTCACATCTGTGTCAGTCCAGACTCCAGACGGACTCAAGTCCAAGTCGAGGACACACATTTTTAAACTACACACAGGTAACACTGAGGAACTACGTTCACTCTGCAGGTTCTGACGCACAGTTCCGATCTTTTTGTGCGGTCGTTCACATGACAACAACGAATGTGTCGGTGAAGTGACCCTCATGAACACAAATATCTCTCCGCTCCTGTTTGTGTCGATCAACGGTGACGTTTGTCTCATATTGATGACGCTCAGGTCGGATGAACACGACCTGAGCGTCACACTGCAGTCACATCAGATACAGATCTGATTTATATCCACATACAGAAGACGGTCGGATCAGAACCAATCAGAACTGACCTGCAGTCTGAACGTAGACTCGGTTATTGACAAAGATGAATTAGAGTTAAACCAAGTTTTCTACTTCAGTCTGTGAGGAAACCACTAAAAACTACAGCTGGGCGATAAATATATGTATCGATAACTAATTTCACTCAATATCAATATCAAACATGATCAATATCCTTTTCAATAGTCGTCATTCTGACATGTTCTGGTCGACTATACGAACAGCCAATGAAAAGGGGAGTTTCTCCGGGTCTGAACCAATCATGTTCTGAATTAGAACCAAGTATCAACCAACTGCAGCGTCGTAGCAGACAGCAGCTCCACCCAACCATAGCACTTTAACAGGTGAAGCCGACAGCACTGTTGGTGAGAAACAAAGAAAATGAGTGCTACCCCCGACAGAAATGACCATGAAGGCTCAACAGATGACCACATCAATGTCAACCACAACACTGGCGTTAGGAAAACGGCGGTGGTGTGGAGGTATTTTGGTTTTTGGAGGTCGGACATGAAGCAGAGTAATGTGGACTGTAAATTATGTCGAGTACATGTTCTCACAAAGTCGGGGAATACCGAATACTTTAAGACAAAACGTCAAAGAGACACAAAGACCTCACAGATGCAGGAGATTATTGAAAAGACATGAGACCAAGAAACACTGTTAGATTTTTATATCCTGATATTGATCGATATCAGCTGATATGAAAACAAATATATCCTGATAAACTTTATTTACGTATCGATCAGCCCTCCTTTAAACCCTGACACACCTGTTCTCAGGTAAGCAGACACACACTCAGGTGTGGGTTCAGGTTTTTATTTCACTCTCTCACACCTGCAGCCCCCCCCCCCCTCCCCCCCTCACACCAACATTAAGATTAAAAACACATTCATTAAAATAAAGTGTCGGTCCACCGGGTCAGACTCGACCCGTGTCTCTGTTTGGTCCTGGGTTTGGTCCAGTCAGCAGCCTGCAGGTCAAAGCTCAGGGTTTAGTGTCCACATCATCACCCAATAATCAGCTGGTGATCGATCACAGTCAGTTGATCAATAATCAGAGGAATGTACCAACTCGGTCCGCTTCAAACTGGGACCCTTGGGGACCCTCAGAGGCCCCCCAACCACGTCTTTGACCCCGGTGCAGACACCTGTCCGGGGACTCCTCTGTGGTTCAGTCCGGTGTCTGAGGCTGCAGTCCCGGTCAGATCGGCATGGTTTTCCCGGTAACGGTCCTTTTAATGGCGGACGCGGCCATCCCGCCCATGAACCGGATCCCGGCGCTCCCTCCGGGCAGAAGCGACACCACGTATCCGACGATGACGGTGACCTGCAGGGCGGCTCCGAGCGCGGTCAGCACGGTGCTGTGGAGGCTCAGAGCCGCGTACAGAGTCCCTCCGAGGGTGCAGAGGTAGACGGCGGCCCCGGGGGAGGTGGGCAGGCCGGCCAGGAGTCTGCTGGGTCCGCGCAGAACCGCCACAGCCGCGATGGCGAAGAGCGAACCGAGCGACCAGAGCAGCGCGAACTTCCGCGCGTACAGCAGCAGCAGCGGCGCGTAGAGCGCGGACAGTCCGAAACACAGCGCCGAGAAACACACGCACACCCCGCACACAACCAGCCGCTGCCGCCGGGACATGCCTGGCAGGCAGGGGTCCGGTTCGGCCGACCACGGCCACGAAAAGCCCCCGCCGCTGCCGCTACTCTGGCCGGACGGACTCGCGCCGCGGTTTCCGGGCCACGGGCTCGACCACCGGCCGAACCAGCTCCCGGTCACCGGCTCCGGGTCATCCATGTCCACCGTGGTGCTGGAGCTGGACTGGGAGATGGTCTTGGCTCCGCCGCTTTTGGACTGGGCCAGATACTCCTGGAGCTGCCGGTTCAGTTCGGCCATGACGAAGGAAGCTAACAGGCTAACTGTTAGCAAATACTTCTCTTCTTCTACGTCTTACTCTTCTTCTTCTTCTTCTTGTTTTCCACCGTTTGTACTCGCTCATCAAACATCCGTATTAAGTCTCCGCCCCCCTGCGGACAGAACAAGAACTACAGCCGAACTCCTGAGGACTAATACAGAGATCTGTGAGAACCTGATCCAGAGCAGAGAAACAACACACACACACACACACACACACACACACACACACACACACACACACACACACACACCTGATTGGATCATTATGAATTTTCTTTCTTCTTTATTTTTCTCAAACTTAAAGAACAAAAATGAAAAAACACTGAACAAAATAATCCGTCCGTACTTCAAACATCTGAACATGTCAAAGATAAATTTACACAAATATATGTTTGTCAAAATAAACAGTCTGAGAACAAACAGAGTGAAGTAAAGAGATTATCTAGTCCAGATTAGAGATTAAAAAAACTCTAATAATATAAATGACAAAGATCTGTATAAATATTAAACACTAAGGTATCTGCTCAACACTACACAGGTTACTTAGTATAATTGTTTACATATTATAATAATAATCAGTGTTATAAAATTGAGAATTAATATGACTTCTGTGTGATCAGGTATATTTAGTATAAAAACATATTTTTGTGAGTTTACTTCTGTGACTCTTTGAATTCTTCTCTTTAGTTTGATTTAAATATTTTGATGTTTTTGGACATTTTTAAAGTGATCCAGAGTTTTACAGCACAAACAGAAAAAAACAGACTTCTCCGAGTTTTTAGGAATAAAATAAAATAAATGGATGTCCCTCTTAGATTATCGCCCCCCTCATCTTTTCCAGGTTACCAGGAGACTTTCTTTGTGTTTCTTTGTACAAACTGGAGCTGCTTTAAAACCGACTGTCGTTAAATCTGAACAGTTTTGATTTTAGAAACAGAGCCGCTCTGTGATCTGTGTGTGTGCAGTGATTGATTATTGATCATGATAACTCTTTTTTTTTAATGTTCATAATTTTCACTTCTGTTTATTTAACAGACGCTGTTTCAGGAAGTTCAGCCGTCCAATCACGACTCCGTATTTAAACAGAATCATTTACACCAACGAAGGTGAATTTATGAGGAGATGTCAGAGATAATAATCCAAATATTGATCAATAATGATAATCAATAACACACTGAGTCTGTTTGGTTCTGAGGGTTTCAGGTCTTTGGCTCTTATTTTGGAAAGTCACATGACCTCAGGACCAGTTTTCAGCTGTTGGACTAAATTTAACCCTTCACTTGATTGGCTACAGGACCGACACACACCGCCATCTACGGTAGTGTGTGTGTGTGTGTGTGTGTGTGTGTGTGTGTGTGTGTGTGTGTGTGTGTGTTCATTTAGTACAACGATCAGAAGGACAGACGACCAGAGCTGATCAGAGGGAATAGATCTACAGCAGGTACTGCTGCACACACACACACACAGACACACACACACACACACACACACACACACAGACACAGACACACACACACACACACACACACACACACACACTCTGCTGTCTGAGGTTGTTATTCTGAACCTGTTAAGGATCGTTCTCAGTCTACAGACTCTGAGATGGACCGGGACTCTGAAGACTGTTGGTCTAGTTCAGCTCAAAGACCAGGACCAGTGTGATCCTGTTAAAGAGGAACCATCTGAGTGAATCACAGACAGAACCAGAACCAGAACCTGTTTGTTTACCAAACAGGTCCAAAGTTGTAATGCTGAACTTTGGACTTTGTATGTATGGTGGTCAGGTGGTCACAGCAGGCTGAGATCTGATCAGGGTCGGCGGTTCCTCCGTACTTCACCTCCTTATTCAGCTCAAGTTCATCCTTCTGGTTCTGACGTTGGTTGGAGTTCCCTGAACTCTCTGTAGCTCCACCAAAGTCTGGACTCTGTTGTGGTTCCAGAGTCTCTTGAGTCTGTTTTCTTTCATTTGACGGATGTCTCCGTTTGAGTTCAGATCTGTTTTTCTTCTTCTTTTGTCCGGTAACGTCTCAGACCTTCACCTCTGATCAGGAGTTTGAAACTCTGTCGGCTCTCATCAGCTGATCGGTCCTCAGAAGAACACTAACACCATCCTGTGTTTCTCCACAGGTGGGCCTCATGTCCGTCTCTCAGATCACCCCCACCCTCTTCCTGGGCGGGGCCGACGCCCCCCTCAACGCCATGCTGATGTCACAGAAGGGCATCACCCTGATCGTCAACGCCACCATCAACCACGCCTGCCCCGCCTACCCCGGGGTGGAGTGTGTGCGAGTCCCGGTCTCCGACCTGCCCAGCGCCCGCCTCGGAGACCACTTTGACCGGGTGGCAGAGCGTATCCATGGCAACCATGCAGGTGGCACGCTGGTGCACTGTGCCGCAGGTATGAGTCGCTCCCCTGCGCTGGTGATGGCGTACCTGATGCGTTTCAGAGGAGTGACGCTGCGCCAGGCGCACCGCTGGGTGCAGGACAGCCGGCCGTACGTGCGCCTGAACGCCGGATTCTGGGAGCAGCTGCTGCAGTACGAGAGGAAGCTGTACGGGAAAAACACCGTCAGAGTGGCGGCAGTAGAGGAAAGCCCACCGCCACCGCCGCCGCCGCCACTCACACCGAGGACGCAGAGGTGGACGAGGCTGCCACCGCCACAGACAAACTGGTTAACGCAGGTTCAAAGGTCACCTGTGATGGGCCGGGCATCTGTGATGTCACGGCCCCAGGTGATGACGCCAACGACCCAGAGAAGAAGAGGAACCAAATCCAGCATCTTCAGAGTCTGAGCGCAGAGCAAACCACGTTACCCACAATCCACCTGGACCACTGCGTGACCACGCTGACATCCACGGGTGTGACTGACGCTCTGCTGCTGACACCTGCAGGACAAACCCACGCTCTCACCTGGAGGTGAACAGGAAGTCAGCAGTGACGAGCTGACCAATAGGAAGCCTTCCTGACAAAGCTGAGCTGGGGATCTTGGTGACCCTGTAACCTGGGATTCCCACCACCTTGACTGGGCCCCATTTGTAATGATCTGAAGGATTTATCTGCATTATATCTGAATTTAATCGGAACGATACGAGCGAGCAGGAGCGTCTGTTTGTGGGCGGGGCTTAAGAGGAGAGGAGGAGCTGAGGGGAAAACTGGTTTGGAGGGGTCGAGTTTACATTCAAGATTTCTCCTAAAAACTGGGACTAACTCAGATCCTGACTACAACACCTTTTAGTTTATTTTCAGGATTTTTCACTTTTTTTAATTCAGGTTTTTTTTCTTTCTTCTTCATCATTTTTCAGGTTCTCCTCTTTGTCTGACTTTTTACTCTCATCCATTTTAGTTTGCTCTTTATCGAAGTGTGTTTTTTATGTTTCCATGTTTGTTTTTCAGTTTTTCCTTTTTTTCTTTGTTGTATTTTTTTTTCTCAGTTTATTTTTATTGGTTTCTATTATTTGACATTTGTCATATGTTGTTCTTCCTTTGTTTTAGTTTTTTCTTTTCTTCAGGTTGTTTTTTTTTCCCTTTATTTCTTTATTTCAATTTTTTACTTTTTCTTCATGTTTGTTCTTTGGTTTTAATTTTATTTATTTTGTTTTTATTTATTTTTTTATTGTTGAATTTTGTACTTTTTCAAAAAAAAAGTTTGTTTTATTTATTTTTTGTCCTTCTGGGTCCACACTTTGTCGTTTTTGGGCCCACACAGATTTGTCTTTGCTCTTGTTTTCTAAGTCAGGCGTTCACAGGTTGTGTCCTAACCCTGCATTCTCTCTAATGTCCAGAGGGGGCGACTCCTCTGGTAGTAAAACATCAGTGTGACAGTAAAACAGCTGATTGTCTCTCAGCTGGTCAGTTAACCCTTCCCTGGTCTCAGTCTCTAGTTTACAGTCTTCTTTAATGAAGAATTATATCCTTTGGGGAAACCACGGTCCATATAGAGACACACAGACCAAACCAGAGGGGGAGGAGTTATCCGCCCTTTCGTCCATATATGGTCACTCCTGGAACCACAGTGTTTAGATGGAGTCTGACTCTGTGGGCAGGTTAGCTAAGTCTTTGGTCCTTTGGGAACAAAAGATGGTAATCCTGTTTTTAAATCTCCTGAGTCTTCTGGCTGCAGGTCAGTAAACCGTCGGGGGTCCCAAACTTCTGTCTGATCTGTTGTTTTAGGGGAAAATGTTGATTGAGGTTCTTCTGTTCAGTGAAATAAAACCTTTACTGTTGGACTAAATCACTGTCATCTGTTCACATGAGAAAAACCTCAGGGCCGTTTGCTTTTCATGGTTGTGGTGAAACTGGAGGAACATGTTTATCAGAAGAGCCTTCATTCCAGGAGAGACAAATATCAAAGGTGATTTAAACCGTCGCTTAAACTGAGTACGAAAAAAAAACAGTTTATATGGAAAAAAGTCAGAAACATGTGAGTGACATCTGCTCAGGTTTTAATGGGAGGAACAACAAAACAGGTCCAAAGGTTTAATGCTCAACAAACATCTGGAGAAACATCTCCAACCATTGATGTGAATGTCCAACAGGTTAGTCACATGACCGGGTCCAAGACGGACCTTCAGAGAGGCGGAGTCTCTCAAAGGTTCAGGACTCTGTGAGAGACTGTGTGAGCGAAAAATTTAACAGGTTCAGAATTAAGTTCCTGGATGGATTTCATCGTCTACAGAAGATCAGATCATTTAAAGATTCAGAAGATCAGAAGAAATCTCTGTACTAAAGAGGGACAAGGACCAAAACCAGGACTGGATGGTCCTGATCTTCATATGAACAACAGTATCATCATAATTATCTTTGCTGTCATTGTTGACGTGGTCATCATCATCTTTATCATCATGAACATCATTATGATCATGACCAGCAACATCAACATCATCATCATCATCATCATGGACATCATGATGTTGATGATAATGATGATGATGATGATCATGATCATCAACATCATCAGAAACCTCATTATCATCATCATCATCATTTTCATTTCTATCTCAACTTTATCGTTATTTTCTGTTTTTATTGTCAACGTCCTTTGCTCTCATTGTTGACATGGTCATCATCATCTTTATCATCATGAACATCATTATGATCATGACCAGCAACATCATCATAAACCTCCTCATCATAGTCATCATCATCATCATCATCATCATGATCATGACCAGCAACATCAACATCATCATCATCATCATCATCATCATCATCATGGACATCATGATGATGATGATGATGATCAACGTCCTTAGCTCTCATTGTTGACATAGTCATCATCATCATGAACATCATTGTGATCATGATCAAGACTATCAACATCATCAAAATCATCATCATCATAGTCATCATCATTATCATCATCATCATCATCTTTATCAGCTATCAAATAGATATCCATCTCATCAACTTTTCATTTCTATCTCAACTTTTATTGTTATTTTTGTTTTTATTGTCAACGTCCTTATCTGTCATTGTTGACAGTCATCATCTTGAACCTCATGATCATGACCAGCAACATCAACATCATCATAAACCTCCTCATCATAGTCATCATCATCATCATCATCATGGTCATCATCAGCATTATCATCTTGTTCATCATTATGATCATGACCAGCAACATCATCATAAACATCCTCATCATCATCATCATCATCATCTTGAACATCATTATGATCATGATCCTCATCACCCTCCTCATCGTCTTCCTCACCCCCCCGTGTCGGTTGCTCCACAGTTACAGAAACCTTCAGTGGTGAAATCCTCAGTGAAGGTTCGGTTCCAGTCTTCATGAACGGGGTCACCCTCTCGGTGAAGGTGGGTTTGAAGGTGTGGACGTGTGATCCAGTATCAGGGTCGGAGAAGGACAGCTGTCCACTGTCCAAGTCCAGATCCACTCTGATCTTCTGGAGATGTTTCTTCACTTGGAGGACGGTCTGTCCACCTGTTGTTGATGAGTGTGTTTTATAAAGTCCATCACTGAGTCTCACCCCCCATGATGTGGACCATCTGACTCTTTCCCCGTAGATGGACTTCTCCATCACTCCCAGTTCCCAGTCTGAGCTCTCTCCGACCTCCACCTCCCAGCTGTGGGACCCTGACTCGAAGCTCTCAGATCCCAGGACTGAACCATCATGAGAGATCCTCTCTGGGTTATCAGGAAGCTGCTGCTCCTCTCCTCGGCTCACAGAGCTCAGATCTTCAGAGAGGAGAACCTCAGGATGAGCAGAGTTTGGATCCAGGATCACAGGACAGTAGGAGACCATACCCTTCATCTTGGTCCAGATGTTGAAGCTCAGGTTGCCCAGATGTTTGGCCTGGTCTATCAGAGCTCCTGAGGGCAGCTGTGGAACCTCGATCTGGGAGTGTTGGAAGATTTTGAGCATTGTTGGAGTGTAGTTTTTCAGGAATGAGAGGTCTTCAGCTCTCAGCAGGTCCTCTGTGGCTCTGACTGTGTCTGAAAGATCTGCGATCTGTCTGCTCAGAGCCTCCATCTGCTCCTTCATCCTCCGACTCTTCTGCTCCTCTTCCTCCCTCAGTGCAGACAGCCTGGCCTCCTCTTCCTCCTCTAGAAACCGGTGAAGCTTCAGGAACTGCTCCTTAATCCGCCTCTCTGTGAGCCGGGCCTGGACCTGAATGTGTTCAGCTGTTTGATCAAACTTCTCCTGAACTTCCTGAAGATAACGTAGACTCTCGCCCAAAGACTCTGGAGTCTCCTCCAGAAAGAACCTGTGCTCTCGAGCGGTTTCATCGACGGGTCTGAAACTGTGGTTGGTGTGTCTCCCTGAGTCTCTGCAGACCTCACAGACCAGCTCCTGATGGTCCAGACAGAAGAACTTGAGCTTCTGGAGGTGCAGAGTGCAGAGACCCTCCTGCAGGAAACTCTCACAGAGCTTCTTCAAGGTGATGTTAGGAAGAAGATGTCCTTTTGAGCTCCAGCTCCCACAAACCGGACACCTCTGCTCCTCCTTCGTCTTCCACCAGTCCTGCAGACAGTCTCTGCAGAAGCTGTGGCTGCAGGACAGGATGACCGGGTCTCTGAAGACCTCGCTGCAGACCGGACAGAAAAGATCTTCATCGAACCTGGACGCCATTTAGTCTCTCAGTGAAGCAGCAGACAGGAAACAAATTAACCACTTCCTGCTCTGAAAGTCAGTCACTGAGAATAAAACGGGTCGACTTTGTGGTTCTGTCCTCCCAGTCCTCCCAGTCCTCCCAGTCCTCCCAGTATCCCGTCCTCCTGTCCGGGTTCCTCGCTGGTTCCTGTCCTGGTTTTTGTCTGCAGGTCGGTCGGTCCCTCAGTCTGGATGTTCCTCTGAATCAGGTCGACGATGAAGACACAAAAAACAAGGTGTGTGTGTGTGTGTGTGTGTGTGTGTGTGTGTGTGTGTGTGTGTGTGTGTGTGTGTGTGTGTGTGGGTGGAGGTGCTTCTCTAGAGTGTGAGAATGTAAACCCACCTCACCTCAAACTGCAAAAACAAAAAGGATTTTCTCATTTATTTCAGTTTAATTTTTATATTTAAAAATTTTTCATCATCATAAAAACTTTTTTCTGAAGTTTGAAACTTTATTTTCTCTGAACAGGAAGTCAGTCTGGGACCACTGCAGCTTCCTGAGGTTAGACCGACTGATGAGCAGGAAACCAGAGAGAGAGAGCGAGGGAGAGAGAGAGAGAGAGAGAGAGAGGGAGAGAGAGAGAGAGAGAGAGAGAGAGAGAGAGAGAGAGAGAGAGAGAGAGAGAGAGAGAGAGAGAGAGAGAGAGAGAGAGAGAGAGAGAGAGAGGGAGAGAGAGAGAGAGAGAGAGAGAGAGAGAGAGAGAGAGAGAGAGAGAGAGAGAGAGAGAGAGAGAGAGAGAGAGAGAGAGAGAGGGAGAGAGAGAGACAGAGAGAGAGAGAGAGAGAGAGAGAGAGAGAGAGAGAGAGAGAGAGAGAGAGAGAGAGAGAGAGAGAGAGAGAGAGAGAGAGAGAGAGAGAGAGAGAGAGAGAGAGAGAGAGAGAGAGAGAGAGAGAGAGAGAGAGAGAGAGAGAGAGAGAGAGAGAGAGAGAGAGAGAGAGAGAGAGAGAGAGAGGGAGAGAGAGGGAGAGAGAGAGAGAGAGAGAGAGAGAGAGAGAGAGAGAGAGAGAGAGAGAGAGAGAGAGAGAGAGAGAGAGAGAGAGAGAGAGAGAGAGAGAGGGAGAGAGAGAGAGGGAGAGAGAGAGAGAGAGAGAGAGAGAGAGAGAGAGAGAGAGAGAGAGAGAGAGAGAGAGAGAGAGAGAGAGAGAGAGAGAGAGAGAGAGAGAGAGAGAGAGAGAGAGAGAGAGAGAGAGAGAGAGAGAGAGAGAGAGAGAGAGAGAGAGAGAGAGAGAGAGAGAGAGAGAGAGAGAGAGAGAGAGAGAGAGAGAGAGAGAGAGAGAGAGAGAGAGAGAGAGAGAGAGAGAGAGAGAGAGAGAGAGAGAGAGAGAGAGAGAGGGAGAGAGGATTTACAGAGAAACTGAGACTTTGTACAGACAGCTGTGTGTCAGTGATGGAAGATCAGTTCTTCTGACTGAATCTTTAGAATCGGTTCATTAAAACGATTCGTTCAAAAGATTCGTTCACTGAATCAGTCAGTGTTTCAGAGCCCCGCCCTGTCGCTGCAGTAAAACCAGTGAGTGACACAGCGGCAAGTTCGTTCATTAGCCCCTCCCCTGCTGCTGAAGTCACAGCGTCGTTCACTGGGTGACTCGTGTCGTTCATTCGCCAAGTCCTGAAGGAAGAATCACTCCCCCGCCCTGAAAAACTCACCTCTCTCTGTGTGTCGCCGTCTGTCAGCGGAAACAACACAGCAGCGAGCAGCACGCCGCTAAACGAGTGCGAGTCGTTGTTTTTTTATAACGTGGAAAAGTGGCGAGATTAAAAATAAATAAAGATGTCAGCTGTAGCGAGGATTCAGAGACTTTAAAGATATCAAATATCGTATTTCTTTAAATCGTCTGAAATTAAATCTTCTTACAGGAAAGTTTAAACACGTGTTTTAATGTAAAGACGCCATAATGACCTGTTTTATCTCAGTCAACCAACCGCTGCTCAGCAGGAAGTGAACCACGATACACCCCTCCCTCCTCTGTCTGAATAAAGTCGTTCAGAAGTCGTTCGTTTTGTTCACCATGTCATTCACTGACTGATTCATGTTGTTCATTCGCTGTGAGTGAATCACGAGACTCCGCCCACTCGCTCGCTGCCTGTCTGTCATTCTTCAAAGAGTCAAAGGCGTCAGTTCCACTCCTGACCGACACGCCAGACTGAGCTCAACTGACCTGAGAAAAGAACGAATCAGGTCTGAGAGTGATTCAGTTCAGGTCGTTCACTCAGCAGCTCTTTTGAACGAATCGTTCATGAACTACACAAACACGAGTGTTTAATATCCACGAGGAGGCGTGGCCTGCTGTCGTCTACCTGTGACCAGAAGAGCTTTATTTTCAGCGTTTTTAAAACTTAAAGATTGTTTATCTAAAAATTTACTTTAGTGTCAATCAAATGACAGTTTTTAACTCAACAGTATTTTTATTATTTTTAAACAGATTAAAACAGTTTAACCTTAAAAAGCTCAAGATACAGAGGAAACATGAACCACTAAAGACCCCGTTTACTGCTCCATAAACCTGTTACTGTGATTAAATAACAAATTCTGGAGCCAAAACTAAAATTATTAAAAAAACAACAAGTAGGTTCTGAAATTCAGGTTTTGTAGATCTTGAAATATTTAAGATGTAGAGAAATAAAGAGTGAAATGAACTTCTGTACGCGAAGAGAAAAACTGGAAAAGTCTAAAAGAGAGAAAAATGAAATAGTCTGATTATCAAATGAATGTTTTAAATTAAAAATAAAAGTTTAATGATTATTAAACTAACTGACACTTGAACTGGATGTTTTTTTCCATGTTTTTGGGAATATTTGGTCATTTGTATTTTATTGACATTTGTCACACAGATCTATTGTTTTATTGTGAAAGGGTGTCTCATCTGTGGTTCAGCAGCTCTGAGGAAAAGGAAACAGAGGAGACCTTCAAAATAAAAGCAGCAGCTTCGCCGTTTGTAACTTTACTGTTAACTGAGGTTGTTCTCTGTGTCACTGTGACCGCGGGTGTTTCTGATAAACAAACTGAGTTTTTCAGGTGAAGATCTTTGAGGTTCTCTCCTGGTCTGACTTCAGTCTCCTCTGACTCATCAGCTGGTTTTACTGGTTTTATTCTGGAGGACAAACTGGTGAACTTGGTCTCTGTGGATAAAACTGTCGAACTCTTTCACAAACTCGGACTGATGGAGGTTAAAGAGGAAATCTGTAATAATCCACACACAGCTTTTATTGTGAAAATCTCTCCCGGAAGTCCCTCTCTGTCACCAGGGTAACTTCACTTCGGGGCCGCTCGGCTCGGCTCGGCTCGGCTCGGTTTGTTTTCCCCCCGCCCTCCAGCGGACCGGAGCGACATGAAAAGCGGAGTCCGCGGTTCTGGGTTCTTTGGAGTCAGGGCGGCCGGACCGAGCGGACCACGAACCGGAGCGGACCCACCGGGATCACGGACCGGGACTGCCGCATCAGTCTGCGGTGATTCAGAGCCGAGAGGCCCCGCTCACACACCGGGCGGTCCGCTGCAGCCAAGCCGGGCTGCAGAGCACTCTTGGCGGCTGCAGCTGCTGGAAGCATCCCGCTGAACGGACCGAACCAGGATCTACCGGACCGACCGAGTCCTAGCCATGTACCAGGTCCAGGTGAGTCCTGCTGCACACAGACCGGACCACATTCATGTGTCCATCAGTCAGACACGTGAGCAGGTTTCAGGTCCACCTGGTCCGCAGGTGAGACCGGACCTGGTTCAGACCTGCAAATATGAAACCAGCAGAACCGGGGCGGAACCGAACCGAACCGAACCGGAGAGAAGAAAACCAGAATTTAATAAAAACAAACAAACAAACAAAAAAACGATTTAAAAACAAACAAAAAAACTTCAGTTTAGATTTCTGTGAGGGTGAAAGAGTGAAAGAGAGAAAGAGAGAAAGAGAGGACTTTACATCAACAAACAAACAAACAAACAAACAACAAGAGGATTAAATTCATTTAATTCAATTTAATTATGAGATTCAAGGCTGGAAGCGGGTTAGACACTGGAGTTTTTCTGTCACTCTATGTGTATAAATATACATATTTAATATATAGATGTGTATATATATATATTATATACATCTATATATATACATATATATATATATATATATATATATATATATATATTATATATATATGTATATATATATATAATATATATATAAAATATATATATATATATATATATATATATATATATATATATATATATATATATATATAGATTATATAATATATATATATATATATATATACATATATATATATATATATATATATATATATATATATATATGTATATTTCAACCACATGCAGGAACTCTTGAGCTAAAACAGAAAAGTTGAATCTGGAAAAAGAACATTTTTACTATTATTATTATTGTTGTTGTTATAATTCCTGTAAATCCTTAAATCAGTCTGAATAATCTCAGAGTGAGTTTTTGACGCTGACCCCCCAGTTTCATTCAGGACCAGGATCCAGTCTGAGGAGGTTTTCAGAGTCAGGGTCTGTGTGTTCAGAAGGAGCCGAAATAAAGAGAAATAAAGACGGTCAACGTTTGACTGAAGAGACGAGATCAAGTCAGAGTGTAAATGTGTGTGTGTGTGTGTGTGTGTGTGTGTGTGTGTGTGTGTGTGTGTGTGTGTGTGTGTGTGTGTGTGTGTGTGTGTGTTGCTCCCTGCTGGGCTCCTCTTGAGGAGGTGGAGGCTGCAGCTTCAGTCTCCTCCTCCTCCTCCTCTGTCGTCCTCCTCACAGATTTGTTGGTTTCTTTGGTTTCTTTAAGTTTCTGTCTTCGTTCGTTTTTTGTCCTCAGTTGTAAATTTGTCTTCAGTCTCATCGTGTCCAAAAAAACACACCAACAACAACAACAAGGACAGCAGCAACAGACACACAACAAAAACACACAAATAAAAGATGGAGGACAACAGCGGCGTGTTCTGAACAGATCTGAGCAGACACAGATCTATGATCGTTTAGCCCTGATGGCGTCAGGAGTGAGTGAGTTTTTGAGGAGGTCACGGTTTACCTTCGGTACCTGATAACTGTCTGAACGAAGTCTAAGGAACTCTCTGTACGGTGGCTGAGAAGGGTCATGTAGTGTCTGAACGGCTGTGTTCCTCATCACCTCCTGTAGATCCAGCTGAAGTGTTTCTGATCTTAGACTCTCTCTTTACTCTGATGGAGGATCAATCAGGAGGATGTTCACTTTGAAGGTCAGCTGAACCTCAAAGATGAGGATTCGGATCAGCAGGACCTTCAGGGACGTTCAGCTGGATGAGCTCTTGGCGTCATGTTTCTCCGTGGATGTTCACGTAGATCTGAGGTGAACCTGGAGGAGAGAAGAGTCAGCAGACGGATGAGAAGGTTCCTCTGGAGTTCAGAAGTCCTGTTTTCATCCAAACCCTGTTGGAGGTTTTTCCTGAGGGATGGACTCAGAGTCAGACCGGAGGTTTTACTGTCACTGTAGACCCTGAGTCTGAAAGGTCCACAGTCTTTAA